GTGTTTACCTACTTCGGTGTGGGTGTTTACAGCACTAATTATCATTTCTGCAAATCTCTTGCAATGTTACCTAAGCTGCATTGCTAAATACATTTTGTAACCACAGTCATATGTGTGATTCACTATCTGGCATGGCTAGTTTGGTAAGAAATGTATTTTCAATTATTTACAATCAAAGTTTTGCTTTGAGTGATACCATCAGGGGAATCTTGAAGATTCAGATAACAGGTAAATGATCAGCAGATTTCCACAATAGCCAAAATAGCTGGGAACGCCAAAAGATTGAGAGAGGCTTCTACCAGCTCACTGCTCATGTCCTCTACAGATTGTCATGCCCCAAACTAAATGAAACAATTAATATCTCTCTTAAATTCAGAGCCCCACCTTCATTCAGAAAGATACACTATGTGGAAAGACACTGAGAGGTTGAAACTCAGTATTTCTGACAAATTTAATTGCTGGACTTGGAAATATCTACTGAATCCTTACATTCAAAACACAAAATTTGGGGATGAAAACAGCAAAATGCACTCATGTTTGCTCAAAATATGCCTCACTTGCTAAATCCTGCGCTGTTAGAAAAGAGTGATAAACCTGGCTTGTTAGGACAGGAACCAAGCTCATAAGCCCCAACTATCTGACTGGCTTTACTGCTTGCATGTTTGCTCTTACTCTGCCTGTTCGTAGGAGTGAATTGACTGCCAGCCAAGACAAGGGCACTGTCACAAGGAAGATCTTGCTCATGTGTGAGCTTTGCCTCTACAGACTGTAGGTACACAAGTGCCTTATGCTACTAGGCTCCGGAAACTTGAGCCCAGCTATCAAAGATGTAATCAGAGAGCTTCAGGGCTTCATCTGACTCCCACAGGAGTCCTTAGGTAATATCAGAAAGAAAAACAAATCTCAGTTGCAATCTCTAGTCTGACCTCTTTTGTGATTTTCATTCTTTTAAATCACAGGGGAGACTTCAGAAATGGAAAACAAACCTGATCAGGAGAAAGGTGTTTTTGTACATTTTTTTTCCTCCTAGGACAGTGTACCAAATCTGTCCTTGATGCTAACTCAGAAAAGTCAAAATTGCAGCTGAACTTGTCCAAGCACGCCAATTTCCTTTCAGCTGTGTCTGTCCAACCCACTGAATTTGGTCAGTGTAATTTGACCCTGTTTTTTGCTCAAGAGAATTTGCTCTAGTCCCCCCAAATAAATTGTCTGGCATTGGCATATGAGCTGTTTCAGTTGCCCAGATTATTTCACCTCATGCTCTGAGCAGGTCCAAGGGTTACTTTACCCTACCAGGCTTGGCCACCAAACATATCATGCAGAAAAAATTCCACATCTTCAAAGTCATTAGCAGGTTTGTTTTTTTTAAAAACTCCTGCTACTGGCTACTGTTAGCAAGGACCACATCGCTGATGCTGGGACCTAACCACTGCAGTTATGGATGGGGCTAAAATGGTTAAATTTGAAAACTGCTGAAGCTGATGTTCAAGACGGAGGTGTGCTCTCACACATGCCATCAGCTGCACTCTAGACTGAAACACAGCACTTCAGAAGAGCAAACGAACACTTTGGACGAGAATGCTAAGATCTGGCTGCTATAAGGGCAATGGTGTCCAGCGTAACAAACATATGCCGCTGTCTGTGTAAATGATCAGATGGCCAAATACCTCCTAATGGAGATCATGCGTGAATCATGTATGAGTCTTGCCTACATCTGTTCAGTCACAGAACTGGCTTGCTAAGGGAAAGGAGTGTAACCTAAAAGTTTTCTCAGTTCATTGTACTGCCTCAAAGAAGCACAGGACAGCCTCAGGACACTGATAATTGTGTAATAACTTGTCTTCAGTTTTACTTTGAACTCACAGCAAACAAAAGGACCAATTTTGCACTGAGGAGAAGGAATTAAGGCAACTGTAATTTTACACCGCCTTTCTGGACCGCATTCAGAATTCATAGCTTAAGGTTGCCTGCAGGCTGCTACTTAAATTCATTCCTCTTCAGAGATGTGCCATAGCACTTTACAACTCTCCTCCCTGCTCACTTTGTACACTAGCTTTTGGAAAGAAGATGGTGCAAACCTAACCATCTGTGGACATTCATATCCCATTTATGGAAAAAAAATTCTATCATTGGTATAGTATGCTGCTGCAAGAAAGGACCCGAGGGACAGTGTGATCTCTCCCACACCTTCCTGTGCTAAGACAGTGGAAAAGAGCACTCACTCCGTTTGTGAGGCTGGATTGCATAAATAGAGCAAACTTTAAATAGAGCGAACACTTGAAGTTGGTGACCACTTTCATTTACTAATATGAAGAGCTTTATCTGGGGGATCCAACAGGACGGACAACTAGCATGCCTTAAAAATAGGCTGTTTGGGTCTTCCTTGTTGTTTGGTCTTTCTCCAATAGGTCACAGGGGCCAGAACAATAAGAAGTGACAAAATGCTTTCTTTGCTTTTTACTTACCGTACCGACACACACTGATCTGCTACACAAACTGCACTGAGACCCAAGGATGAGGAATTTGTCCTTTTCAGGGGTGAAAGGATCCTTCATGACATAGCTTTCTTCCAAAAGCCTAGAAGAGAATAAATCTAAGCTTTTAAGGATCGATTTCACAGTAAGGGAGGGGGACAGTTGAAAAGGAGAATCAGGGGGAGGATAGAAAGGCAGCAGCCCTCTCTCCTTGGTTTGCACTGCCTAGTGTTGTACAAGTGACAATGGAGCAGCTATGCCACTCTCTTCTTTTTTAAAATCAACCTTGTGCCTGCCTTCAGTCTTAAACTGTGGCTCTTCCTGTCTGTAACTTTCCTCCCAAAAGGAGAGCAATTGGTGATCATGTCAGCATTGCCTTACTAAGTTTTTCTCAGTGCTCCACCTTAAAGTGTATCTTCCATTCTTATGACAGGCACTCCTTCGCATGGCCAATGAAAGTACCTTGTCAAGTTATCATCTCAATTGTAGAGCTTTTAATTAGGAATTCTCTTTGAAAGATATGTGTGCAAGTATAAAATAAAGAGAGCTTTTACTGCTCTTCGTTACGTCCCTGCTGTAAAGTTAAGGTTCTCGTCTCTTGCAGGCGGGAGCTACTAGCACAGAGCATTGTAATAATCTGAAATATTCTGACCTTATCTCAGAGACGGTATTGTTTGCTTCAGGGTATTCAGGGAGTGCATTTATTAGCAACTTGGCAACCTGCTTGGGAAAGACTAATGCCTTATTCTTCCTGAGAGCTTCAGGCAAAGTGTTACTGAAGTCAGTTTGGTGTATATCTGCACAAGGCATTCTGCAAGGCTGCACAATACCTATATAAAAGATATTCTGACAACTCATCCTGTCCTTTGCTTATCTCTCTCTTTATATATACACACATACATGTTTGTATGTGCGTGTCTGAGTGTACTCCTTTTTCGTTTTCCCCTCCACTCAAACAAAAAATGGTATGGCTCAAGCCTTCACTGTTAGGAAAGATCAGGCATCTTAGCATGGGAGAACACCTTGTCAACAAGTCTTCTAGCGTACAAAGGCTGGATTATCTTTGCAAAGCTCCCCTTGCAAGCCTCACAGTCTTAACATAACCATCATCAGTGCAGAGACCTGGCTATTGTGGAAGCCTTCATGTTTGGCATACGTTTCCTGCAGCGTTTAAGACTAGTGAGTAGATCAGAAAGCAAGTCAGTAAAGGTAGTCTGTAAAGCTATTTCTCCCATGCATGTACGGAAGCACTATTATTATAGCATAGGTATTCTTTTGCTGTTTGAATTTGAATGATTTAAATTAAGTTAAGCTGTTAACACCAAGCTGGGGCAATTTAAAGGCAAGAGTCATATTCAGCTTTGATTCAGACTCTTTACAAGAGGACCTGATTGAAGGTGATCCATCGTTCTTCTGAGTGGAAGGGGGAAAACTAGTAGCACTGTAGGATTTGGAGTGATAAAAATACAGCTGCCACAGGATAACAGATCTGATCTCAGCCCAAGCAGGCGGTGACCAACAGCTGTTTTCATTTTACAAGTAACTGAGCAGTCTTAGTAGGCTGAAACACTGAGTACATGCCTGACTTCCAGTTCCAGTGAGTTCCTGAGCATGTCTGCCTGATGGGTTCATTCACCGGGATGGCCTCAACAGAGCTACTCATACATTTAAAGCTAAATGTTTGTTCTGTGGGGAGTTTAATGTCTGCAGATCAAGTCGTGACCGCATAGTTTCTGGTCAAACTAACCCTACTTGGTAGAGGAGGAAAAGGCTTCAGTCTCCTGAAATGTAAATATCTACTAAATTTCCACACATTTTAATGTTATACATTCTGCCAAAGAATTGTCTAATTCATGCAAAAAAAAAAACAACCCTGTGTTTGAAACTGCAAATGTCAAACAGCTCAAAAAGTGTTTTTTCCATACCTATTTAATTCACACTGTGTTTACAGTGTTTACCTCGCAGCTGTGTCAGTGGGTAAGGGCTATTCCCAGAAATGCTATGCTAACAGTCAACAATATTCTAGGATGAAAATTATGGTGTATTGTAAGGTGGCCGGTGGGGTTAGGAAATAGGTTAAATACAAGTCTTTGCATTGCACTGAAGTAGGAAGAGAAAGTTGACTTTTTTTTTTTTTTTTTTTTGCTATCAATACTGACAATTTTTAACATTTCCTTCCTTTGGAAAATGAAGGTCATCTTAAATCCCAAGCCTCATATTCAGGGTCAATATGGCACGTTATTGAGTTCATGTAGCGTACATCATTCCACAGTGTGAGGCTTCTAATGCCCATAGCATAAATGAAGTCTAGAATATGAAAAATTGTACTCACACAATAGAGCGTGTGTTTGGTGGCTTCTGCCCATAGTAGGTATATGGAGCTGTTAAGCCACATAACTGACATTTGAACTCTCCTTTAGGCTGAGCTTCTTTGTGAGACTCCATCTTTAAGATACCTACAAGAAAACCAAAAAATATTTTAGCTCCAAAATGCTGTACTTGGAACATATTTGCAAGACAATTAAATTGATGTGGGACATCTGGCTATGCAAATTAAAATCCAGTGGGGAATCGACTGTTGCAAGCCTTGATTAGTAAATCATTTCTCCTAAATCAAGTTCATTTCTCATACCCCGGTTACATTTCCAAATTCCTCAGAGAAGTTTGGAAACTACAACCTTGGAGCCTAACTATAAAAGCCCGCCTGCTAATTTAGAACTTGATCAAAGAAAGAGTTTAGGTAATGAAGTATACAGCTGTGACCTGGAAAACCCTTTGCTTAGGCTCCATAAGCACCTCCCCATCCAGTGTGCAGCATCCTCATCAAGGGCTGTGGCATCCATCTCTTCCCACAAAACGCAAATGGAGCCTGTGAAAGGGCCTGGGACTCCACTCAGGAGGCAGATGCCAGCAAGGTAGGTGTTGCCATGGTTTACTTACAGCAGCGCCTATGTACTTTTTCATGGGTTTTGATTGCCACCTCCAAACAGTTTTGGGAGCTTTACCCCAGCCACCTGTTATTACCTGGCTTCCAAGGGAAATGAGGCTGATGTAGTCACACTGTATGTCTGTCTAGAGTATCGGCTCATTCAAACCAACCAGGACAGAGAAGGAGGTAGTTTCAAAAATGTTTAGGTCTTTTAATTCTCAAGCAAATAGGTAGAAGAGGGAGACTCTGTTTTGTCCTCACTGAGGAAAAAGCTGCAACATGAACCCATATGTTTCTAGACATCAGAGAATCCACCCAGGAGAAAGCTATTGTCCCTCTGTAGGAAAGCCTTTAGACACCCACTACAAAGGTGTAGCTCTCAGTTATGAGATACAAACTGTAGGAAGCCATTTTTCATCATCTTTGGTGCTTAAAAGACTAGTTGTTTAAAATCTTGGCCACTGATTTACATTTGGTAATCGATAACACTTTTTTGAGTCATACCCTTCAGTTTTCCAAAAGCATGGCATGGAAAGTATTATTTTAGGCTTCATTTTTGTGCGTGTGTGTGATCAGAACAAACACAACGCACATGCCCCAAACTTGCAAAGATCCATGAATGAAATGTGACTGCTTGTTTGCAAATTGGATATCTTTGCTCCCCTGCAGCATTCTCTTGAATGGATGCACTTACCCAGCAGTTGGCAAGAAAATTCAAGCTTTTAGCTAAGAGCCCTCCGACTTTCTGTGGCAGGTAGTTTTCTGCCGCAAACCCATCACTTTCATAAGTGAAGCAGAGCTGGCATCAGGCTGTCAGGAATGTGAAACACAATGCCCAACTAGCAGGCATTTCAGCCACGGGACCAGACTAGAAGCAGTCTGAAATACCCCCGAACCATATACAGAGGGGGACATCAGGTACTCAGCATCCAACACTTTGGTTTATGGTTTCACTTATTGCATCACACTACTTACTAATGTAGTCAAAAATAATAGAACTACCTTTCTTTTCTTTTTTCTTCCAGTGTCCTTTTTCCTGTTGTTTCAGTAAGTTAAATTAGCTTGAGGAGGGATATGACAACCGCTAACAGCAGCCCAAGGTGAGAGGCAAAACTTCACAGCCAGGAGAAGGGGAGGGCTGAGATGAGGGACCTGTATTTCCCCCTTTCAGTGACAGTAAGCTGCTATTTCTGTTCACCCTAGGTGGTGAAACCGAATCCTTAGAGACATAGGCTGCTAAGGTGAATTAGGGGCAAGGTGAAGCAGAGCTACTTGTTACCTAATATTCCAGAAGAACAGGGAGCCCCAAGATCCTGAGAGGTTCATAATGGACCTCCAGCTCATAAAACCTCAGCCTGTTTCAATCCTGAAACTTAATTTTGCAAATAGTCTCCCTTACCCTCTCAAACTAATTCCTTCACCCTTTCCTTTCCACTGTCATTCTTGGCATTTCAGTAGTACAGGGAGCTCTTCAAATCTAACACACCTGTGCCTGGGCACTGGTTTAATAAATACATCCAACCCTTCAATACCTTAGGCAACTACATTTTCTGGAAAGTGATGTAAACTTTGGATGTTACGTATTCTACTTACCTCCCAGGGATGCTGAGAGACTTTAACTACAGTGCTTTCAGATTTTCACATATAAGGCATGTATATGCTATGTACTTTTCCTCATACATTAAAACAGGGATTTTTCTGAACTGAGAAGTCTGCTTTTTGAACCCTAAATTTTAGAGTTACCAGAGAAATCCCCCATACATCCCCAAAGTTGCCTTTTCTGTAGGTAGTCAGTAGCAATATCAAGAGAGCCACCTGTCTGAATGAGACTCAGTTCTGAGCAGTATGTGCAATTTTTGGTGATTCAATTTTTTTTAAACGGAGAATAGTTAAGCTGGCAAAGGTGAAGGAGTACGGAAGGTCTCTTGAATTAAATACAGAAGGCTGTCATGGTGATCTTTTCTTTAAAATAAACCAAAAAAATGAAGAACAACAACAACAACAAAAGAGTATTTATGGCAGCAGGGATCACAGACTTTGGAACGAACACGTCCTGATTCCAAGTCAAGAGAACAGCCCTGGGTTTAGAACTGAAGTACGTTAGATATAGAAACACCTGCTCTCTTATAGACCGTTGGCATGTAGAACAGAATCTGTTCAGTGACTACCACTGGGAAGGAATGATATCTATGTACGAACAGATTTTTGGCTATGACAGTTGAAAAGCATATGATCCTGCCTGAAAGGCACAGATGAATTTATGATGCTTTCCATTTTACTCCAAGCTACGGGTCACTGGCATCAGCTGCACCAAGTTTCATTTCATTGGAACAGCATTTGTCCTGAGAGCTTGTCTACACAGCAGCACTTGGGAAAGCTAAGGTCGCTAATGCGAGGTGTGAATTTAACGCATATACAGATTTCTGGGTGAAAGCTCCCATTCAGAAGTAAAGTTTGCTTTATAATAAAATAAGGCCATTTTCCTTCTGAAAAGAAGAAATCTGATGACAGATTTAATAAGATTTTTAATTTACATGCATGTGCTTCACACCTTCAGTCTAAACCACGAAGCAGACAAGTGCTAAGATGCACTCTCACAAAGCTTTTAGTATTTTTGCTCGTTTGCAATTAAAAAAATGTATTTTTACATCAGACAACTAACGCACAGAAGCGGTTTGGGGGTGTAAAAAAAAAAAAAAAAAAGTCAAGATAGATACTCTGGTTTATCACTAAGTAAACTCATTGGTTTGGTCCTGTATCCAAACTTAACACAATGCCTGACATTATGACTCTGACAAGCTATCTGCCTTCCTTCCAAGCAAACATATGAAGAATGAATGAGAACTAGTTTCTCTCTCACATACATACTATGGGATGAGAGATCTCTCAAGGAGGAAAAAAGTCAATGAGACTAATCCCTTTATAATCAAGGCAGGCAACTTTGTGACCTCAAGTGATTCAAATTATCACTAGCACTGATGGCTGAGTTTTTCTCTTTTCTTTGGGAATTTCTGAAGAAGTAACATGCCCCAGAAACACGTCAAATAGCCGGCTGCTTTGGATATATGAAGAAGTCTTTAAGAACAGCTTGCTTAGAACTGAATTCTGCCAAAGTATTTGGCATTTTGGCTGTAAGCCGCAAGGTACTTAAACACATACTTACTCTGAGCACATACATAGCACTTCTGAAAAGAACACAGCTACCCACACATGCTTGATTACGAATCAAACACTGAACTAGCACGCTCAGCAGAAAACTGCCAAGTCAAACCCAAAATGCTGCAGGACACGTGTGAGGTTGGCCCATGTGGCACGGTGAAAGGTAAAGCACACAGATTTGAACGCGGTATTACAGAAATAATTGCAGTAAAAGGAAGGCACAACTTAGATAGGAGTGGTATAACAGTGTTTCTCCATGCTGTGGCTGATATATGATATGGATGGGGGGAAATGGCTCTCAGTGCAGTTCTCTAGGGACTACTAAAAACTTCAGGGCAGTTCTGCTTGGAGCATTCTACTAACAGGCCCAGAAGGCATGCCAGAAATAATAAATCACCATTAAATTGTCAGGGTCAGTGGTAAAGTAGTGGCACAGATAAGTAATCTGATTTTCTTTGCTTCAAACCTTATTAGCACAGGTCTTTACAATGCATAGTTTGAGCCCCTCTTAATTCACCACAGGAGACTCATGTATTTCTGAGTCACTGATAAACTACAGAAAGTACGCAAGAAACTGCTTCCAAACAGACATAGACTTTGATTTGAAAGGGTGTCAGATAAGCCCAGCATTGACACACCTTTAATCCTATCAAATTAAAGCCTTGTTTCTTTTTCCTACCAAGTTTTTCCTGCACTATCCAGTGATGATGATGATAACCTATTAAAATACTCATGACCTGATTCTCTGTGGGACAGACCACTCTCTACTAGACTGCTAGGAGCCACTGAGTTCATAGCCTGGTAAACGCCAAGTTATTCTGCAGTGTTTGGTGTGATACAAGTTTAAATACGCTTCAGCACCAAGAGTGCACTCACCTCCTTTAGAAAAGTGATCTGTTGCCTAATTACTTAGGTAATAGATGAAACAGCAGAACCTTCTTACTTGCTAGTTAATCCCTAGGCGAACAACTCTCTCCCTCCAGTTCCTTCATGCTATTGCCCTGAAGGTATGCTTAGGTCACTTGTTGGCTGCCTCCCTGCTCTGACTTACCTTGGGTTCAGAGCAATTAGTCCAGGAACACAAGTTCACTAAGTGCGGCCATTTGGAACTTGACCCCCATTACCTCCTCAAAAGATCACTTGACTGAATTGAACCTTGCACTTGTTACAGCAGCTTCTCCCTTCAGGCCAAGAGGATACTGCTGGTGTTTCTATGCTCTTGTCTGCTCTGAAGGAACGGAGATAACTGCAGTGCAACAACTCTACGTAGGGATCATGCAGCAGGCCTAAGCCCTGCTTCTTAAGTCCTGCTTGCATGTGATCTAGGACTCCCCATGGCAGTAGGATAAACAGCCCTCTTTGGGGCTATTCCATGCAGGTAGCCCTGAAGGCCATTTTAGACGTGACAGCATTTTTCTGAACAGTCCCAGGGAATGTTTGAATAGGAGTGTGTCAGAGAAAGAGAGGAATAATACATATGGTAAAAAGGCTTTATGAACACAAGATGAATCTCAACAAAGCACCTCTTTGTAAGATATGATTTTGAAAAGCTGAGAAATCAACACTTACATAAAAAAAATCTAGCCCAAGTAGTCCTGACTTGAATAGGGCAGCCAGCCAGCTCTGAATTAGACAGCATTTAATATAGAAGAATCTCAAATTAGGTGAGAATTTAACAGCTTCGCACAGGAATGCTGCAACAAGGCACCAATTAACTGGTATATACCACTGTCCCCTAGTGGACACATCAGAACTGTACGGCCATGGTGACCGGCCGTATTTCTGTCAGTAGCTGCTAGGAATTCCTGTTTCAGCGACTCAGCTGAAGCTGTTAAGAGTAACTCGGTTGTAAAAACCCAGCTAAGTGGATCACACAGTAAGAATGAATTATAGGATAGAATAAAAATAAGTTGCCAAGGCATGCATAATGTAAGCCGTATTTATGTCTGGTTGCAGAGGCACGGTAGACCTCTTTGTTGCAAAACAGAATAAATATTATCCTCAAACAATACTAACAGAGGTGGGAAAAATACAGTATCATAAGTTTCTCCTCACCTCCAATAAATAAATAAATCTATCCATGGTCATATCTGGTTTTCCACTCAACTCTCCACTTCCAAAAGATTTTCCTAAGCAGATCACATCATCATCCATCATGCCATTCTAACATTCTGTATGTAAAACAGCTCAGAAATCAAAGGAAGGCAAGGCAAGTGTGTCCCTCTTTTCACCGCACAGTTATAGGGACACAGTGGGGAGAAGGCAACACAGCAGACCCAAACACTGAAATGTTATCATTTCTGGATTATAACTACTCCTGACCTAAAGGGGATATACCAGACCTGAGGTCTGATTTCATTAGATCTCCCTTCTGATACAGCCACAATAAATAAGCGTGCTATGACCTTAGGTTACCTCCTGCTTGGAATTGATTTTTGCTCCCCTTCAAACTATAGCTCCCTATTATGGCTTTGTTGGATTAATACCCATAGCGGGTGAAGAATAGGATGGTAAGACTCTATTAATACATAAGCGATGATGGTTCCTTTAAGGAACATCCTTAAAGGTTGTCCTTTAAGAAAAATTACAGAGGGCTGCACATGTAGCAGTGAAAAGTATCAGCATGGTTAAGCACAATCTAAACTTAGTGCAACACTTCCCAACCTAGTCTAAAATTAGGAGCAGCAAGATTTTGTGGAAATACATAAGGAGAGTGTAACACAGTGTATTGGGAAATAAGATACTGTCACTTAACATAATCCTGAAAGCAGTAAATATAGCTTCAGTGATTTATCTCCCTAGAGTAAGCAAATTTGCACCTGTAAGGAAATACTCATCACTCCCACTCGGGGCTGCGTGTTACAGTGTTGTTGCTGTGACAGCCAGTGTCCACTCTCCTCTGCCTCCAGCAAGTGCAGCGTTAACATACTTGGAGAAGTTAATTATTTCCAGGAAAACATGACTGATTCTCTCATTTAGGACTGAGCTCAAACTGAGGACTGCATAGTGAAGCAAAACCTTTAAAAAGGAAAAGAAAACACAAAACTACTCTGTGGGGTATGGGATAAAGAGTGTCAGGTTCAAAAAGGTCCAAGAACAAAAATAAAGTCCTGTATCTACTGCATACGTAACTTTCCCATGCATGTAGCCCCACACACCTTCTTACGGGCACTGTCTCTTTCACCGAAAGGCACTTTTGTCCCAGCTATTGTGAACAGCAAGCAACGAGGAAAGCTGGAGAGATGGATACTCCCAGTATGTCTGATGAAGCCAAGAAGCCCAAACAATCATTAGAAAGTTTTCTTTTCCAGGGCACTCAATGGGAGTTCTCGCGCAAGAACTTACAAACAGGTATTCTCCCTCTCTCCCTCAACTTTGAGGTTTTTTTTTTTTTTTTGATTATAGTTTACAGTTGATATTGATCCTTCAGACACGGACTAGTGGCTTCCAGACTTTGTGACTTATGTGTACGGTAAATCCCTGTTTTCTAACCATGCAGCAGTACAAATGACACAAATTCAATTATGCGCTAATGGTGTGATTTTCTCTCATGTTTTCAGATTAGTCTGTTCCTCTCAGAAAGACGTGGCTACCCAGTCATTACTTGGATTACTTTGCCTAAAAAAAAAAAAAAAAAAAGCAGGAACTAAGGCTGAATTTGCTCCTTTCAACACCAGATACTCTCATCAGGTATCAGGTAGACTCACAACAACCGTTTCCATAGCGCTTTAGACAACACAGGGCAATTATACTTGTTCTTAAACAGTGGGAGTCATCTTGTACCACAGGCTGCTAAACCTTTTCTTTTGTGCACGCTCTGTAGTCTGCACAGCCTGTTCTGCAGAGCATGTGTGTTTATGTTCTCTTCCTCTATAAGTTTTTGGACAAATTTACAGCTCCACTCATCAATGATAAAACAGGAGGAAAGCAGGATTTTTCACATGCGACAAATTTTATCACAGAGAGAGCAGGGTGGATCCTAGAATTCACTATAACTGCACAGCTGAACACTCCTACTGGGTCATATGCTAGGAGTACAGACACGCAAAATCTTTGCAGCTCTGGTCTGTCTCCCAGGAGTCTCCAAAATCCAGCGAGAATTAGCAGCATCCTCAAAGAATCACAGATACTTAAGTAACTTTCCTTCGGTCTCAATTCTGTCTGTTAAGTAAGCATAGATTGGTCTAAGATTACACTGAGGTCCAAGCGAAGAGCATGGACTACAGAGTAGAGCTAAATAAGCAGTAGAGTTGATAGGGTCTTGATAGAAATTTTGTATGCCATATGTTTATGTTAAGAGTTGGTAAAAGTACCAGATAAGCTTTATCCATCTATAGCTATAAGAACACTGTGATGTTTATGTTACAAGTTTAAGTGTATGTTTCCTTTTTGTATATATCTGTGCATCTAAGTGTGATTAATTAGTAATATATTGACTTAGTTTATGTTAGGAAAATTATGACAAATGAACAGATGGAGGCAAGAGGCATAGCAAAAAATTATTACGGTATAGTTGAAAGCATAGTTTACATGTTAGCAAGCCAGTGAAAAGGAAAACAGAAAGAACAGGTAAAAAGTGCTCTTTTTGCCAGGCACTGAGAAAAGGAACATAATAAAAAGTTGACCCTCTCTTGCTTTACTCTGACCTAGAGAAACAAAATCAAATACAAGAATGATATGGCTAACTGATTAGTTTTTAATCCAGATCTCAGGTCTGTGCTTATCTACTGGGGGTTTCACGGCTATTTTTCTGGGTTTGTTTGTTGTTTTTTGTGCCAGTAAAAGCTCTACTTTAGTAAACAGGGCAGTGCAATGCTGATGTACAAGCTAGGAAGTTCAGTGTCTCAATAAGCCTGTGGAGCAAATCTCCATTCCCAGTGAGGTTAATAATGGAATCCAAATCGTCTACCATTATTATCAAATCTGAATTCAACAGAAAACTTCCAAACTACCCCAGGTTGCTCTGTGTGTGTGTGTGCACAGAGTTAAACTTCTAGGGGATTCTCTACTGTTTCATTATTTGTAGACAATATGTAAAGTAACGCTCTTGTTACACCAGTTACTTTGCCTGAACAACTTTTCCCTTTACCTGGGAAACTAAGGCAACTAAGGAGGAAAACATTTTGACAGGGGATCCTGAAGCATGAAGGACTTAAATTTTGTCTATATAAAAAACATACACTATTTGAATTGTATGGGTATAGTTAAAGCAGAGGTTCAAATTAGTACTGCTCATAAGCAATATCAATTAAGGAAAACAAATCAGTATATGGTATCTTTACAGCTATCTTTACAGCTCTACTGACTCCCTTCAAGGGGGTATATTGGTAAAATTACCAATTAAACCCTAACTGAAAAGGCTTAACTAGTGCACAAATCTTTGCATATGGGTATAACTAACTACCAGTACACAAATCCAATTCTTTGACTCACAGAGGCCTACCCACGGAAAATAGCTCCAGAGATTATTTTGTCTACCATTTCCAAGACACAACTGACTTCATGTTGATGGCGATCTGCAGTATGTTTATTGAGACTCTCCTACCAGCCCTAGTGTCTTACAGACAAGTAATAGGTTAGTGAACAACTCCGAAGGAAAGCCACATGACTAACCTCCCTCCTTAAGCAGTCAGACCATTTCCTAGCATCACTGAGCTATGGGGAAATTTATCGGGGTTCTCAGAGCAGATCTAGAAAGAAACATGGTACCTCATCTCCCACACACTTTACAAAATCCCTACCCCTGTATTTTCAAGGGGAATTGAGTACTTAATTGTTTCCATGGCTCTAAGGCTGTCTAAGCACAAAGCTGTGAGCCTCAAAAGCCTCGTTCAGACGCAACCTCATACTGGAAACATCTAAACCTCCTGGGACCTGAGGGATTTCCCCTAAATATCCTAGGGTCCTTAAAGCTCCACCTTTGCACAGGTCCAGAAGTGTTGCCTAATGCTCTTGTATGTCTCTGAGCTTCCCTGGGATCCTCTGCACAAACCCCTTTGAGGCTGCATCCTTTAGCTCCAACCTCAACTCAGCTAAGTACCTTTAAAAAAACTGCCTATGGCCACCATATTCTTTTAAACAAAGTATATGCTTTATATTTTATACTAAAACTATTGCATAGAAGAAAATGATCAGAATCAAGCTTCAGCTCCAGGTCCAGATTCAGAGGGTGTCTCCTCTGTTAAGCAAGTGCCCTGGTCTGCAGGCTACTCTCAGGCTTGTGCTATCTCTCTTCACCTAAACCCCTCTCACAACTGTTTCTGCAGTTTGATGGGGAAGGCCTCTCCACTCAGTGTAACTTATGGTATAGTGATTTGGGCACTCTGGAGGTAGGAAGAGCATCTTTCAAGCCTCTCCCACCTCAAGCCACGGAATTTGAACTCTGCTCTCCCACCTCTGCAGCAAGGCTCCTTCTACCCTCTGTCTTCTGTGATGGAGAGGCCCTGAGCTCTGCCTCTGCAAGAGTGTTTTGAAAGGTCAGCGAGCCTCCTCCAGTGCGAGTACAGCCACCGGACTTCCAGAAAGGCCTCCAGCCTGGGGAGGAGAAAGGAAACACTTTCTTCAGACCCTGCCCAGGCTGCCTGCTGAAGACAGATTAAAGATTCATCCCTGCCTACTGTTAGTAGCAGCTGCCCCCGGGCAGCTCAGGTGCCCGGCTGCCAAAGGGAGATAGCCCCAGCCCCACTACTCCGGCTCTCCTCGGTGGGGGCCCTCGTTCAGACACAGCCCCCGGCCCGGGCAGGAGCGGCGGTGTGCGCAGGCGCGCGGCGACACCCAGCCCCCTTCTCCCTCCCCGCC